GTGCCAGTCTCTCCCTTCTTTTCTCTCTCTCCGTTTCTCTTTCTCATGGAAGAAATGAATGAATAAACCTTTAAATACAGGCTAGAGGTTTGTGGATGCTTCCTCTTGAGTTCCTCCACTGCAGTACACTAGTGGGAGTCACCGTCATCGCTCACCATAATTGTTGGAGCAGCTTCCTGATTGTCTCCTGGCCTCTGATTTTGAATGTAGGGTGTTAGGGTGGCACAGTTCTGGTGCCAAGCTTAGCATGGTGGCTGACAAGTAAAACACCACTTACTGGTGTTGAGTAGACCACGCTGCTGAGGGACTAACAATTGGGTGCATCCTTAGGATGACAAGAAGACTTAGGATGAAGAGGAAGACCTACCAAGAACCTCTTAGCGTGGTGTTGATATTTCCAAAGGAAAGAGCCTCATCTCACTCTCTGACCTGAGCTTGTGTCCTGCTGGCCCTTAGTCGACTTCTCTCTGCTCCAAGGCTTTGCCTGGGTTCTCCTCCCCCTGCCCTCAACTCTACAGTCAACTTCTTTCTAAACGGGAATGTAACTCAGCGTATCCTGGGGCCGGGGTTAGGAGTCACATCAGCTTTCAGAGTCTTGTTTATCTCCTTAGCCACCATTTTTCTCAGTTTATAGCAGGATTCTGCTGCTTTACTTCTGTGGTTTCTGCTGATTAATTTTTAGCAGGAATTTTTTGGATAGATGCGTGTTATTATTTATTCCATGATAATGCCTTAAGCGACTCTCTTAACCATGAATTTAAATCCACAGGAAGGTTTTTATAAACTCTATGTTGTAGTGGTTTTCTTATCGTGAGGTTTGGATGGTAGGCTGATGAATTTTGGTGAGGAGGGTAGTAGTTTAATCTAGTGGAACACCAGAACCGAAGGGCCGTATCCGTGCATACCTAATATACTTTCAATATGTTTATAAATTGGTGGTAAAGTTACTGTTTGTTGCCAGAAAGAACCTGATCACCCTTTATTTGCTGCTTCTGACTACAGTGAAAAACCACAGGAATGTAGATTTCAAGGTGCCTTCAGTTACCACAGGAGCCTTTGTTTACCATCGGATGACATTCTTGCTCCTTTTTGCCAAGTAAAGGTGTTATTTATGCATCAGTGAGTCAGGCCACTTGATAGGAGATGTTTCTGCTCCCCTGAGTAAAGTTGAAAAATTCTCTGGAGTAGTCCTCTAAGTAGCAGGTGTGGGTCTGCGGGCTATGACATTTTACAAGCAGACCTGCTTTTTGGTTGCTTTACCTTAAGTCTGTCCTAGACTTTACCAGCTATTTGGCTTGTCTTTCTCATGAAATTGACCTATGTTTTATACTGATAAGAAAAATAACTCTTTAAAATGAGAGTATTTTCTTCTTTTTCTTTTTTTTTGGGGGGGGAGAGGTTTTTGCTATAGGGTTTGTGCGCTTGCCAGAAAGACAGAGAGAGACAGAGAGACAGAAAGTGAAAAATCACCCCCCAGGGGGGATGGCCATGCCACAATCCCTTCTCCTCCATTCTCTTCTCGGGACCTTGGGCACGCACGCACATGTGCCTGGTGTGAGTTTAAGCCACTGGGTCCAGGACTCGAACCACAGTGGACTACATGGGAGTCCAGTGACATAGCCATTATGCTAACTACTGGTCTTGAGATTATTTTCTTTTAGGAATTCTTTTTTAAACTTTATTTATTTATTTATTTAAATTTGACCAGAGAGGGACACAGAGAGAGAGAAAGTTAAAAAGTGAGCCACCAGGCCCAGGACTTGAACCACGGTCAGTGGGAGTCCAGTGCTCTTAATCACCTTGCCACCTGCCAGCCCAAAATAAGATATTTTTTGTTGACATAGTTGATCGAGATCTTTAAATTTAATTTTGTGCCTCCAACTTTCATATAGGTGTGACCCATTTAGCCTGCAACAAAATCACACAAATGCTGTCTGCATTAAAAAACAAAACAAACAAACAAAAATAACATTTCCCTGGGGCACGTGGTCTCTAGAAACATGACCTCCTTTTTCTGACTACAATAAAGTTGAAATGCACGGCACTGTAATAAACAGCAGATAAAAAGTGGACAGCCATTTCTCACTGTTTTCTTTAGTCTATCATTTAGACCTTCTGAAGTGGTGGTAGGTAAACTGGTCTGCCTAGATTTTTTTAAAAAATGCATATGAATGTTCAAAAAGTTGAAACCATGGGGAAAGAATAAGGACGACTGAAGATAATCTTTATCCAGTCTCAGATTTCTCTTTCATTATTTGGAAGAAGGGTTGAAGTTTCTTTTCATTCTGTTCCCTTCTTCTAACATAATCCGTTTTAGCTTAGTTTTCCTTGGTTGGAGAAGTCTACAAGGTTCTAATCTCTCCCCCCCTGCCAAGGGGCTGGAAGAAAGAAGGTGGGAAGGTAAAGTAATTTGACCACAGTCTCTTGTCTAGTAATCCCTTCAGAACTCTGTGTGGGGTAGCCATCATTATGTCCTTCTTGGCATAAAGAAATAGGCCCAGGGAAGTTGGGTAGCTTGGCCAGTCTGACTCTGAATTCTCTACTTTTTCCCTAACAAATAAAGATTTGTTCACAGGAAAGTGTTTTTGAGAACCAGGGGCAAGGTAGTAGTTGGGGAGGTGGGTAGAAGAATTCCCTACTTTCTTTATGGATTGATTATATCCACAAAACAGAGGGAGCGAGCGCCTTGTTAGTGATGTGGGCCTGAGTTATTGTTCATACAGGGCTTCCTCCATTCTCCTCTTGGGATCTTGGGCACGCACGCACACGCACCCGGCGTGAGTTTTAAGCCACCGGGTCCGGGACACGAACCGCGGTCGACTACATGGGAGTCCAGCGACATAGCCATTACGCTAACTGCTGGTTCCCACAGGGAAGTGTTTTTGAGAACCAGGGGCAAGGTAGTAGTTGGGGAGGTGGGTAGAAGAATTCCCTACCTTCTTTATGGATTGATTATATCCACAAAACAGAGGGAGCGAGCGCCTTGTTAGTGATGTGGGCCTGAGTTATTGTTCATACAGGGCTGCACACAAAATAGGAATTCAGTGAGTGACAGCTGAGGAAAAGGAAGACGTAGGGCGAGCCCGTGGTCTGGCAGTCAGGGGAGCTGGATCCCATGTGGCCGACTGCTGTGTGAGTGCTGGCCTTGGCAGTCTGACAAACCCACCGAGTGCATGTGTGTGCCCCAAGTCCTGACAGGATGGAGAAATGGAAGAGAATGGATTGCAGTGAATATTCCTTGTTGACAGTCCTTGCTCCCTTCTCCCTGTCGCTCTCTGGCAAGCACACACATCTTTTGGCAATTAAAAAAGAGAGTGGGGTCTGTAGGTGGGCTGGTGGTTAAAGCACTGGAGTCTCACATGGCTGACTGAGGTTCAAGTCCTGGACCTGGTGGCTTGAAAATCACGCCAGGCACATGTACATATGTGACCATCCCTCCTGGTGCATACCTTCTCACTTTCCCTCTCAGTCTCTGTGTCTCTCTCTGGTGAGCACATGCGCCCTATGGCAAAAACCTAAAAGGAAAGAGACAGACAGAGAGACATATCTAGTATAAAGGCAACTGCAAAGCTAGGCCTTAACGTGAAGCTCAAGGGCAAACTATGGGCCGGACCGACTGAAGTTGGAAGGACTCTCTCCAGAGTGTTCTGGTAAAACGTCTGATTCCAAGGTATTGTTACTGAACTCAAATCAGGTCCGCTTGCCCAAGCACTATAAAACCAAACCATAGGCACATGGTGTGGTGAAGGAAAGTACAGCTTTATTGCAAAGCGCAAAGCAAGGAGAGCGGGCAGCTCATGCTGAAAAGACCCGGTCTCCCCAGGTGTTCCCCACATGCGTTTTTAAGGGCAAAATTAGGGGCAGAGGTCCCAGGCGCATGATCAGTTCAGTGATTGGTTCAAGAGGGCGTGATCAGCTCGTGGGCATTCTTGATTGGTGAGGCCTTAGATAATCAAATTCCTCTTCAGGTGTCTGGAACCGTTCAGCCTGGAGTCTCTGAGCTCACAACCAGCAGTTTCCAGTCTACAAAACATCTTACACACTGAAATGAAAACCTTCTTTCCTTTAAGTGAGAGTTTTAGAGGTCAAATGACCCCCACTCCTGGTCCATGTTGGTCATTATCGTAACCAAAGTCTGAAGACTTACTCCTTACTCCGGGCCATTACAATGCAAATGGACTTTATATTTCAGGAACCCTAGAAAATACATTAGGGAGTTCTTGCTCGGTTTCAGTAGTGATTCACAGTTGTTGAACTAAGAGTCCTATGTATGAAATCAACAGATCTCACGTGGAGTGCAGCAGATTTGACGTATGGATCTCTACATCGTTTGACGGATCATTTTAGTCAAAGAGCACTAGGTTCAGATTAGCTCAAGCTAAAAGCGTTGATTGAAGGATGGGGGGCCCCTTTGGAATTTAAGAGCTGGGAGGATAACTGGGTCTCCTTAGAATCAGAAAACGGTCAGAAATGGAAGGTGCTACCTTTATCTTTTAGGGTCTCTCTAATTTCTGGTTGTTTTTGTATTCTTTCTCTTCTTACGGAGTTCTGTGGCACAATGCAACACCTGATGGTTGAGTTTCTGAGGTGTGAGTATTGCTGGTCACCCGCCGACCCGGTGACTGTGGTGGCTCCCGGGAGTAGTTATTTGTCCTAAATGTGGCAACTCTGGCCTACCTTGTCTCAGAAGATACAGATTTATAGAGAGTGAGCCTGTTGGGAAGAGCAGACACAGAAAGTCTATCTGTTAACTCACATTTTTTGTTACATAATTCAAAAAGAAGGGAAGAGGTGGGATTCAGCTGTAGATTTTCTAAAGCCTGGTTGCCAAACTGAAACTTGCAGCATAACTGATTTCAGAATGCCCACTAGCATGCTAAGTTATAATAAAAAATAATCTTCCTAAAAGTTGATCCTGCAAACCTAAATTTATGTTTGCTATTGTCACTTTATAATAGGTATTGAATATTAACCTTCACGTTCTTCTGAATTTCTTCCAGAGATACGAAGACTATGGAATGACTCCCCCATCGGGCCCATTGCCAAGGTAAAGTTTTCAGAACAAAATGTATTATGACTTCTTCACATAGGCTAGTTTGTTTGTTTGTTTGTTTGTTTGTTTCCTTCTTTCTGTAGGTATAGCAAAGCAGGAAGTTTATTAGCAAAGTGGGAAATAACAAAGTGAGAAGTTTATTTAAGGTGAGGGAAAGAAAAACAGAGCTCCCAAGAAGGGAGGAGTCCCAGAAAATAGATTGCAAAAAAAAAAAACTGTGGCAAGGGGTTTTTATGTGGATCAGGAAGGGCTTTGTGACTTAGGTTCTAGGTGGGGCTTGTGCATGCATTCCCCTCCTGGTGGGGAGGGCCACATGCTGAATGGGTCCAATTATTCTCCAACTATTGGAGTGGGTTTCTTTGTCTAGAAACTTTGGGCCATGAAAACCATTATCTTATCTTCTCCCTGGAATGTGGTGGGCCTGGAAAAAGCCTTTGTTTTAGGTCCTGGCTGCTAGATGAGTCACTGATCCATCACTACCTCCATCTCAGACTTAGCTATTCTGTGATTCCATTTGGGGCCCATGCCCTAAGTATATTTTTAGGGTCCCTGTCTCCTACCTCATTCCCCACTCTGCAGAGGAATCCCTGACTGCTGCTAGGGGCACAAGGGTCAATCGTTCTGACTTCCTCCTGCTCAACTGGGCGATGATGGGGGGGGACAGCAGTTAAGGGTTCTCTACCAGAGGTCTGTCTGGAGTCCCGTGCTAGAAGTCATGATGGGCGTTCACTGGAGACCTTGTCCCAGCCGCCAATTTGTAGCTTGATGGGTTCATTCCGACGTGAAGAAAGGGAGTCTAGATGCTTCCCAGCCAATGCACCAGAATATGAGGCAGAAATGTGGGGGCGCAGGGTGATCAGGGCCACACTCGCAGTGAGACACAGGTTCTTGTGACACATGCTCAGGAAGAATTAGAGTCGCAGACACAGAGAGTAGGTTTAGCAAAGCGGGGAGTTTATTAGCAAAGTGGGGACTAACAAAGCGGGGAGTTTATTGAAGGAGAGAAAGGAAAAACAGAGCTCCTAAGAAGGGAGAGGTTCCGGAATATGGGATGCCCCATAGGCTAGTTTCATTTCTTCTTTTTTCTTGGCGGGGGGGAGAGGTGTTTGCTATAGGGCGCATGCGCTCGCCAGAAAGACAGAGACAGACAGAGAGACAGAAAGTGAGAAATCAGCCCCCCACCAGGAGGGATGGCCATGCCGCAATTCCTTCTCCTCCATTCTCCTCTCGGGATCTTGGGCACGCATGCACACGTGCCCGGCATGAGCTTAAGTCACCAGGTCTGATATTTGAACCGCAGTCGACTACATGGGAGTCCAGTGACATAGCCATTATACTAGCTGCTGGTCCCATCTAGTTTCTAAAATATTTTGCAAACACATTTATTTTAGCTAATATGAGCAGTTACAAAACCCTTGAGTTGTGTATTCTACTGATCTAGCCAGAAGAGGAGGGGAGCATTGGAAGTTAGGGTATGCTGCTGATAGTGACGGAGCAGATCATTGGAACCAACCCCTTGCTGAGGACAGCTAGAAAAGCTAGGTGAGATGTTTGAATTTAAAAAACCCAGAGGGGCCAACAGGTGATGTGGGGATTAAGGTGCTGGACTCCCACATGCCAACTGCAGTTTGGGTCCTGGACCCGGCCCTGCGGCTTGCTTTCTCACTTTTTGTGCACTCTCTCTGTCTCTGGTCAAACTGAAAAATAATAATAATAAGTTAAATAAGTCTTTAAAAGAAAAATTAAAACCCCAGAGAGGACCTGCCCGTAACACAGTGGGTAAGCACTGTGCTTTGGGAGCTGGTTCTACACAGATCGCCAAGGCCTGAGCCTACACCCTGGCAGCTGGAAAAACGTGGGGGCACCGCAAAAAATGCAGACGGGGTGGAGGGAGGATTGCGCCACCACTTCCTGTTGGGGATGCTTGCTCGTTTTCACTCTGTGGAGATCGTACATGTCTTCTGGCAATAAAAAGAAAATTAAAAACTCAAAAATATTTTTTAATTTAGTTTTTTAAATTTGTATTTAAAATTTTAAAAACCCAGAGAGCCAACAGAGCAGTGAAGTATGGGGTTAATATCCAGAAAACCCAGGGATGATTCCTGCCTTTTGGGCTGCTTTTCCTCCAAGGGCGGTATCTGCTGGTTCTAAAGAAGCACTGAGAGGCCGAGAAGGTGGACAAAGCTGTTGTTAAGACTCTCGTGGCTGGGAGACCAAGGAGAGGAGACCCTTGTCAGTACCCAAAGGTTTCAAGTTCTGACCACAGGTGTTATGTCCTAGGAGTGAGGGTGAACTCTGAGTACATCAGTTCCTACAGGAACTAAACCTCAGCTTTGGAAAGCGATTAGGAATCCCTACCTTGCAGAAGCAAATGTAAATCCCCTTCAGAGGGAGGTCATGTTACTCGGGGCATGTATGTGTATTGCAGCAGTACGTGTCTCTCTTACACACACATACAAGGGACTTCACAAATTTGTGGAAAAATAGAATCAAAATGTAAGTTTATTTTAGTGCAAAAAATTTTGAAATTCACGCATAGTTTTGCTTGTTTGTTTCTATGGGGTATGTGTGCTTGCAGGCACAGAGAGATACAGAGAGAGGGAGAGAAAGTGAGGAATCACTCCCCAGAGGGGACGGCCATGCTACAAGCCCTTTTCCTTTCTCCTTGTAGGATTTTGCCCAGGTGCCCGGAGTGATTTTCAAGTCAGTGGGTCTGGGACTTGTACCATACAGTCAGTCATATGTGTTCCAGCTACCTTAACCTCCACATCACCTGCTGCTCTCATGCATAGTTTTTTTATATTATGCATTTTCATGCACTTTTTGAAGACCCTTGTATGTTATCATGCACATAAGAAGAAAGGAAACATAACTAGAAAAAATATTTTTAAAATAGACAACAGAAATGGAACCACAGGGGATCCAAATATTGGGGTTATCAAACACCGATGTTAAAATAATTACATGAGGGGCCAACAGACGGTGTAATGGTTACATTACATTAGTAATGTAGTTACTCACACATAGTTGACTGTGGTTTGAGGTACAGACCCGGTGGCTTAAAACTCATGCTGGGCATGTGTGTGTGTGCCCAAAATCCTGACAAGAGAATGGAGAAGGGATTCTGATGTGGCCATCCCCCCGGGGGGGTGATTTCTCACTTTCTGTCTCTCTGCCTCTCCAGCGAGCACATGCTCCCTATGGCAAAGTTCTCTCCAGAAAAAGAAAAAGAGAGAGAGAGAGAGAATTTAAATTAATGAATGAAATAGAAAACAAATATTGTAGTTAAGGGATCAATAAAGTAAAAAAAAAAATTTTTTCTCAAAAACTAATAAAATTGATAAAGTTTTGCAAGGTAATCAAATAATATCTGTAACAAATTATCAATAAGAGAGAAGTAAAGGACACATCAATCCAGATCTTACATTAAAAATATTTACTTATTTTATTTATTTTTAAACTACTTACTTAGAGGCCAGCAGGTGGCACTGTGGTTACGATATTGGACTCGCACATGGCCGACGTGGTCAAGTCTTGGACTCAGTGGCTAGAAACTCACTCTGGCCATGTGTGCATGTGTACCCAAGACCCTGGGAGGAGAATAGAGGAGAAAGGGATGTGGTGTGGCCATCTTCCTGGGAGAGTAATTTTCCACTTTCCCTCTCACTGTGTCTGTCTCTCTCTTCGGTGAGCATGTGTACCCTAAGACAAAAACTGTTGTTTAAAAACAAACAAACAAAAACTACTTATTCATTTATTAGTTTGTTATATGCCATCTATACCCACCAGAGGCGGGGGGGAGGGAGGGAGGGAAAGGGAGAAATCACCCACTCCCCTTGGGAGAATGGCCTCACCATAATCCCTTCTCTTCCATTCTCCTTTTTTGGATCCTGGGCATGTATACACATATGCCCAGTAGGTTTGTCAAGCCTCCAGGTCTGGTATTTGATCCATATAGTTGACCATGCAGGATCCAGCCGCCTTCACCACCACACCACCAGCTGGTCCTAAAAAGATTTTATGAACACGTTTTTGTTAATAAATTTGAAAATTGGGACTGGCAGGTATTATGGTAGTTAAGGCTCTAGACTCCCACATGGGAGACTACAGTTCAAGTCTTGGACCTGGTGGTTTGCTTTCTCAGTTTCTCTGTCTCTGATGAGTGCATGGATCCAATACCATGTTTAAAAATAACAACAACAATGAATAAAATTAAGTAAAATGAATATTTTTTAAAAATTAAATTTGAAATTGAAAAATCCCTAGAAAGAATAAATACTAAATGATCATAAAACTATTAAACAAACTTGAATCTTAATTAAAATTCTTTCTTCCCACAAAGCGAACCCTAGGCCAGCTGGCTTCAACATTCATTCTACAAAACACTGACGGAGGAAACGATGCAAATGTCATACAAACTTCCCTAAAAAGAGTAACAGGAGAACATTCTCCAGCTCATTTTACGAGAGTCGCATCACCTTGATACCAAGAAGGAAAGGAATTTTGCAGGAAAGGAAATAGTACAGCCAGCCTCACTCCTGAACACAAAAGCAAGAAAAAAAAACCCTGAAACTAAATGTTAGCAAACATAACCAACATTATATACAAAATGATATCCCATTACAGCAAAACTGGATACATTCCAGCAATGCAGTGGTATGGTGATTTAGCATAGGCGATTACAGGAAGAAAATGCTCTCATTTCAATCGCTACAGAATGTGATAAAATTCAACATCTATTCATGGTAAAAAAAAAATAAAATCTTACTAAACAAAGAAGTAAGCTCCTCCGTTCTATTAAAGGGTCTCTCTGCAGATACTACTCCATGATGAAATGTTAAGAGCGTTCCCTCTGAGAACAAGAGCAAGACAGAAATACTAGCTTGCACTGCTTCTGTTCCACCTCCCCCGGGGTTCTAGCCACTGTAACAGGACAAGAAAAAGAAACAAAGAATTAATAGAAATAATATTGTTACTATGCACGGATGATCTGA